GGACCATCCAGGCGTTGATCCATGCAGCCTTGATGATATTAGGAACAATCCTCCGAATACGTATGACAGCTCCACAGAGGCTCCAACCCTGGAGGAATATAAGAGCATTAACAAGAGTCACATCAATATCAAGGACTCTAGAACAAGCCACCCGGCTTCTTTTCTCTCTCTTACTGGCTACGAAGACAAACTGGTGCTCGACGCACATTACGAGATAGTTCGCAATAGGATGGCCGGTGTTAACGAGAAGAGAGAATACATTGAAGGCTCAAACCCAGACAGCGTATCGCTAAACCTAGTGGTATTCAACTGGGGAAATATGGATCGAGCGCCGGTGCCCGCAGGGAATCCCAAAAAGAAGCTCAAACCTGAGAAGGGATTCGATTATCACCCTCTTATTGACATGTGCTTCAACAATTCAGCTCATATTACCCTCGTACTCGAGGCAGGAGCACTTGCGTCAGAGTATTCGATCGCAACCATGCGACAACATGAATACAGGGGGATGCTAATCCACTCTCCTCCCAAGGAGCCTGAGGCACCCTCGATGTATATTGGAGTCAAGGGTGACCCAACAACAGACATCGCTCTCGTCCACCACTTTTATCGTCATCGAACAATGAAACCTAAGAATGGTGGTCCCAAGAAGCGACTGTGGGCATGCCACGGTGCGGTATGCCGCCTCACCTTTGGGTACCACAGTACCATCCCGGAGGCAAAAGAATGGGTCCACCCATATTCTGGCCAAAGGATGACGAGAGACGAGTTCATGCAGATTATCGGATATGACCCACTCAAGGGCAAAAATCCTGACAAGGATGGACCCACTGATGGCTCTTACCTCTCACCAGAGGCGTGCCTGACACTGTCGAACCTCGACCCCTCGCCGATTCTCTGTGAATGGAACGGCCATGTCGAGGGTGATGAGCCACCAGAAAAAGACTTTGAGTCATACGCAGAGATCTTCTCACAAGAAGCATCGAACGATCTTGACGAGATGTGGTGTACAAAAGGGCCTTACAAGGTCATCACCATCGCGATCGTCCATTTCAACTCATTCATGACTCATAAGGAAGAACAGAGACGCGAACTGGTGAACGCGTTCCTCAACGAGATTCTCCCTTTTAAACCGGATGTAATAGCGGGAGATCTCAATAATATTGCGTCGAGGCTCACCTTAAAAGGTGGAGACGTTCACCCGCGAAACAGTTTGTTTTCTCTATACCTGGAGAAGAAACTTGCAGCATTCAACAAAATAGCAGGAAGGAACTCACAAGTGCGACATCTTTGCTTGAACAACTCCGACCAGCACAGACTGGCACGTGCAGATCGTCTACCGGCGGACCCGGCGAAGAAAGTTGCTGACCTTGACTGTATCAACAGTTATATCCTTGACTGGAGTAAAACGCCGCACACGGCGTCACCTAGTCCAAGAGAGGTCACACCTGCCGGCGAAAGAACATACTGGGAGCGAATCTCAGATATGTGGCAGGACACGAACAACAACAGGGATATTGATATCCGTCTGTTTGTCTCAGTCAAGCAGTACTATTCAACTTTTTCTAACCTTGACCTATGGTTGAGTCCCACTGACAAAGATTGGCACAGCCCTTTGGGCTTCACGATACAACCAATCCTTACAAAAGGGAAACACAACCGGTCAGATGCCCAGGTCCAAAAGATCGCTGACAAGCGAAAGGCTTACAAGCAGCGTAATGCTGAATACTGGGGTTACAACGATTCATTCGTTTACTCATCCGGCAACAGCTGGTACGACAAATCGCAACCATCAGGTAGCCATCACAGATATGGAAGATTCTGGGAGTGGCCACAGCCTGAACGTCCCAGCGAGCCTGAAGGTCCTCCTCCAAGAAGGAACCAGGAATCATCGTCCTCTTCACAACAAGATCTACCAAGATCAAGGTCCAGGCCTCAAAGAACCAATATTGTTGACAAGCTCAACATGTCTTTGGAAGAGCTGGATGGACTAGAAGAAGAACCGTCACCAACAAAAAGTGACATCGAAGAACACGAAAGAGAAACATCAAACTTGATGTCTGCTCAGAGAGATGAAGAGGAACAAGAGGACGAATCCTCCAGCCGGAGAAGAAGAAGGAAGGCATCGCGTCCACCGTCTGCTCCGAGCGGCAAGGCACTCAGAACAGCTGCTACAGCAGCGGGATTGTCGGGCTGGTTCGGACACCGCAACCGAGGTGGAGCAAACGCAGAGTCTATCAAGACTGATGAAACTTCACTTCCAAACTCACTAACCAGTGAGCAGGACTTCTCCGTCTTCAGCATCGCGTGGAATGTGTTCTTGCTGCTAATGGGCTTACACTGGATGTGGAAGCAGATTACCAGGCCTCCTATCAGATGTATGGAGCGCCAACAACCAAAATCAAAAGCAGCAGCGAACCAAAGAGTTCCATTCCTCGAACCCGAGGATGAACCGCAGACGCGTGAACCTTTAGGACCCAACAGGGTCAATTCCGGAGAAACAACTGATCTGCGACCTATCTGGCATACTTCCCGAAGCGAAGTCTACCATCTCTCAGACAGCTGTTACCAGCTCAAGCAAGCAAGAGATGTTTGCAAGAAGGTGCTGTGCAAAAACTGCCTCCATGCAGTACAAGTTGCGGAGATTCGCAGAAACGATCCTTTCCAAAGAGGTGATACACGACCACGTGGCACCGAAAGAGACATTGAGCGCTTCCAGACCTACGATGATGCAAGTAACACTCCTCATATGACACAATTATTCAAAGATGCCTTGCATGCACAAATGGCCGAAGAAGCCATGCAGATTACCTATACATCGATCCCCAAGGGATCCTCGGCAAAGGCCAGAGGTACATCTGCACTCTCAAGTGCCGCATCGTCATCAGCGCCCAAGGCAATGCCACCAGGGCCTAACAAGGCAAACATATCACCTCCACCTAAGAGTCCTCCGCCAAAGGCGAAAGGAACAGTACCTTCTGATCCTCCAAGACCAAAAGGTCCTACCAGAAGAGGAGGTCAAAATCGGCGCATTCAACGAAAGGTAGCTAGAGAAGCCCACAACAGTGGACTCTGCACCTATGCAGACGCTGCACTTGACGAAGCCAATCAAGGCCAGGCAATTAACGTTACGTGCCGAAACATAGTAGCAAGACACGTCAGCTCTATCGATGCAACGGTAGAAGCAGCCGGCCAGTTTACACAACGCGTTCTACAGCACGTAGAAACATATGATGAAGAGGAACCGTGGAGCACGGAGTTCCTACCAGTCGTGGAAGTCCTATTCAGGAACTTAAGCAGCGACGAAACAACTGTCATACATGACAATCAAACGGTAACTATGCCTCTTGCGAAATACACAGACCTCCTCAGAATCGCACAATCATTGCGAAGCTCTATCCAGAGAGACAAGGAGGAAAGGAAGGAACATCTTGACACCATCCAAGATACTCTATCCAGAGTGGAAATACTTCTAACAGCACTGAAGGACTCAAGGACAGTCTTTAACCAATTGGTCCATTCCTCACTAGAGATAGAGCGAAGAAATAACAATCTCAAAAATGTCCTCGAGACACTCTTTGACGACCAAAGCTCTGAGGAAGACCAGTCAGAATCTGACAATGAAGAAGTCCTAACTCCTTCTGCAGAACAGTACTGGAATAGCCTTTATGCCCACGCCTTATCTCCTTCAGGAGATGAAAGTGAAAGATCATGGGCGTCCTCAGACGGACAGCTTGAAAGAAGAAGGGCTGAACGGGCAAAGGCTAAGCAGCCACAACCGGCTAAAGCCAAGGCAACCCCAGTCAGCTCACAAGCTGCTCCAAAGGCCGAGCCAAAGGCGACAACATCCAACCATGGATATGATACTGCAGACGCCGCCTTCACCAGGGATGAGAACAGATTACTCGGAATCTTTTCAAGTTCCGAAGAAGATCACTCAGACCCGGATGAGCCACATCCGAACGTCTATGCTCGAGCCTATGATCCAACCCTGGATCCGAATCTGAGATAAGAAAATTCTCAGAGTTTCACAACAGTGAATCGCAAGGCTCTGACAAGAGCACAATGAAGGGCTGCATAATTCGGTAGTAGAACATTACCAGACCTGATCTTGTACAGATGATCTCTCTGACCAATATGCATGAGTGTGTGCAAAAGGAGTGACCTCAACAGTGTACTTCAGTGCTATACCTAGCATAAACAATATGCTGTTTTTATAATGAGTCCAAACTCCGCAACTGTGACAGTGGGCATAACAGTATATGTGTGAATGTGCGGCCATGCTTCCGGTAAAAGAAAATTAGTGTCTGTTTGAAACCATAAAACTCTAAAGGGGTAGCTCTAACAGGTACCTACAGCAATGGCTGCATGCTCATACATATACATTCCGCTGCCCATTGGCTCACAGTGGTTTTACCATATTGAGACAAGACAAGCTCTCCTTGCGTAGCAAGACAAAACAACTACTGTCCGTGTGCAGGGCGCTGCCCTTTGATCCTTAGGGAATAACTGGTCATACACCTCCTTACAAGGAGTATCCCTTGGGGGTGTATCGGCACAGGGGGGGGGGTTTGGGGGGGTTTGGGGGGGGTTGGGGGGGGGGGGGGGGGGGGGGGGGGGGGGGGGGGGGGGGGGGGGGGGGGGGGGGGAGGTACCTGAGGTAAGACCCAAGACGCCTGGGCCTCTGGCCTCGGCGGATTATGGTCTTGGCGAGTTTGGAAAGTCAAGTGTCCAGCACATGAGCTCGTGGTATCAGACAGACAGATTCCAATAGTTGGATGTTCTGGATGCACTGCGCAAGAGTGTCGAAGCTGGAGTTTGATTTTGTATCATCTTGTCGTGGCAATCGCCGCGGGAGGGAGTGGCCCTTGCACTCTTGCCAGGCAGTGTATCCACGAAGCTCGCAGCATCCAGGAAAGACGGAGGCACAGCTCAATGCCAAAGCCAAAGTCCCGAGGGGCCCGGGCTGTACCGTGCGTGCGAGGCTCGAAGAAGAGCTCTCCATGAGCAAGTCCTTCCACGTCGCAGTCGACAAGGCGCCAAAATGCTCTTTGCAAAGGCGGTGAAAGTCGCGGGTTTTGGTTGGGCAGTATGACCAGGGCGCACCGCCGGACTGCAAAGTTTTCAAAGCCAATCGGGACCGATGGATGGACCCAAGGAGCCAGCAGTTCTTCTGCAGTTTCGCGCAGCAGGAAGTATTGTCGACGGCAGACGTTTTGCAACATGTCCCTGAATGCGGGGTTCGCAGGAAAAAAGTGCTTCACGAGACCTTGAGGCTTTGTGGGATAGTGCGAGATGCCCTGCATGGAGACAGGAAGGAATCAACACTGTCGCTGTAGACTGTAACTGCACATTGGGTGCAGCTGCGAGAGGCCGACGCCCTGGGAGTGCCACGAGATGCGGGGCTTCATCGCGGCTCGGGCCAAGAAGGAGCTCACGAGGGCAGACGTCGAGGCTTTGGCCAAGGAACTCGCGGAGACCGGCATCGAAGAAGTTGGCCGCTTTCTGAAGAGCCCAGAAGCGGTCTTCGAGGATCTCGTGGAGCAGGACAGCGGGTGGGGGGGGGGGGCGCACGAATTTGCGGATTGGGAGCTGAGAAAACTGCCAACTTAGACTCTGACTCGTGGAGGATGCTGTGGAGGCCGGTATGACAGCCCTGGCGCGCAGCCTGAAGTTTCATACCGAGTCCAAGGGCAAGGCACGGCTGCGAAAGGGGTCCTGCGGGAGCCTGCGGGACTCTGAGCTGCCTGGGCTGCAGGTGAAGCCAACGCCTCATCCTCTGGACAAGCTGATGCAAGACGCATCGGTGGGCCAAGCCTTTGTGTGTGCGGAAGCAGAAGCATCCTGTGTCGTCAGGCGACCATGCCCCCGGCAGAAGTGATTACTTGGCTTTTGCGAGCTCGGCGCGTTTTGTACAGAGTCCTGATCCTCTCTGATGCAAGTGGACTCACGCTGCAGGAAACTAGATTGGCCTCGCTTTGACGACGAGCTACTTGACAGGACTGCTCGCGACAGCGCATGACACGGCATTGCCGGTGGGCGAACAGCTAGCAGCTAGCAAAAATGGAGTGGACCAGGCGCATCGACAAGCTCTTCGAAGACATGCGACGTGCTGAATTCGCTGGTGACACAGAGACTGTGGTGACCCCGACCTGGGAAGTGATTGTAAGTCTTTCGAAAGCTCTTCTTCGCCCTGTCTCTCTGCTACGGCTTTAATGCATGCAAAGATGTGCGTCTCCATGACAGGGCAAGCTGCGAACGCATGCATCGCGGCTGGAGGGTGCGGGACCCTAGCGGATCTCCCCAGCACGACCGACTGCAGCTGCTTCGAGGCACGAAGACGCTGAAAGATCATGTGGAGCTGAACCGCAAGGCAAGGCCCCAGGGCGCTGCGATTTTCTGCGATGACGATTGCTTGGCTTCTGTGAGGAAACTGTCCAAGCAGCTCCAAAAACTCGTGCTGACGTCTTTCCACAGTGCCTCGGCGTAAATTCCCCTGCGGCGTCCTGCGGCCAAGCGTAGGAAGCTCTTCGCTGCGGAGCTTCAGAGCCGGTTTCAAGTTCATCTCACAATCCTGACATGCCTTCCCAGGACCTTCATTCGAGCCAAACGCCAAATAGATGAAGCCACAGGGCGAATCGTCTTGAAGGCTGGAGATCTGCAAATATCAGCAAACAGCCACTGTAATCGTTCGTCACGGCATGTTGTCGCCAATTCAGGTGGGCATGGACACCAGGAGCACCAGCATGGGAACCATGACTGTTGCGAGATAGCTCAGCATTCTACCATGTCTCACCCTTGTCTCACGCGGTCTCACCTCGGCTACAGTGATCACGGTCACGGAGGCCGGAAAATGCTGTGCTTTCCAGCAGCTGATCGCCTGAACGACACCACTACGCCACTACGCATGGAGCATTGAAAGTCGCTTCCTGCCTCTGCAGCTGACATGACTCTAGCAGAAACGCCAAACCAGTTGAGCATGTAGCAGCATGTAGCACGCAGTGAAACAGGCATTCAGTGGCATGTGGATAGGACCAGAAAACACCTTTGGAGCCTTAGAGCGAGAAGCTGGATTGGGTTAGGTACCCCAATGTTTTGCTTCAACTTAGACAAAGTGAATTCGGAACCTTGCCGCTGATGAGCATCTTTTACGTAACCATCGCTGCATACATCTTGATCGGCGGTGTCGGAGTTGGTGCCCTGCTTGTGGCGGCTTTTGTTCGGTTTCATGTTGCTGTGTCCAGCAGAGATTGTTGGAGGTATTTTCCTATGGGGCAAAGAGCATGGAAACTCCTTCTTCGACAAGCTCTACCGCCTCTTCTGCATGCATTTTCCGAGACTGCTCAAGAAGGCGCCGCGCACCTCTTATTATGTGGGTTCTTAGAGCAATGCGGTGCCATCTCGAGCCCTGAGGCTTTAGAGAAGGTTTTCGGCAAGAGAGCTCCTGCCGTGTTGGACGCTGCTTGGGTGTACGTTTGCTACACAAGCAATCCGTTGGTGCAGATATTTTATGCGGGGATCTCAGCATGACAAAATTTGTCCCACGGATCTCTGCCGCTTGTTTACCGCTTGCTCAGTTGCTCGTCGTGGTGGGTGGCTACGCCACCTTTGTGGCATACAGCCACCCTCACATTCCGAACAAGCTGGAAGCTCGTATGATTCTGATGGCATGCGTCTGGAATCAGTCCACCAAGAACATGGCCGCGTTTTCTCACTGAGGCTGCTTAGCAATGTCCACAAGTACATCGGTTTTGGTATCTTCTCTACTTGCCTGGCAATCTGGTGGAGAGCCTGCACAGCTCGTGTCTCACGTGACGGATCGTGTTGCTAAACGTGTCGTGGAGTCTTGAACAAGGCCGATCCGGGGATTGTGACTCCTCAGAATCTGGACAAGATTTGCGAGATTTGGAAGGCGATGGCAACTTGTTGACAGCTTCACAGTGCTGAAGTCATGGATTTTTGACAAGCAGCCTGATTGACTGATCTTCATCTGCTCACTGCTCATCTAAGCTCGAGAATCGCCCTGTGCCTTGCAGTGGGACGAGCAGATCTTTCACATGGCCGTCTGCAGATCTTGCGAGCTTGCGAAACCGGCACGCTCCAAGCACTGCTCCCTGTGCAACCACTGCGTGGCAAGGTTCGGGCCAGCGCCATCTCGCATGGCAGGCTGCTTGTTCGAAACCGCGTCGCAGGTTCGACCACCATTGCATTTGGATCAACAACTGCGTGGGTGTTGGAAACCACAAGTACTTCCTAGCGCACTCGCCTCAGTTGATGGTGCAGTCACGCCTCTCTTAAGGCTCAGATTCTGCCCAAGGTTTCTGGGTGCACACCTCGTGATCTGCTTTTACGGCTTCGGCTTCGGCCCTGGCTGTTGCTCGATCAGACCGCGAGACATCCCAACCTTCACACCTTCTGCAGCCAAGGGCTCACGGCGACAATCCTGTACAACCTGATCGTAAGCCGGCTCAAAGAGATCCCTCGGGCAGAGAGCGCGGAGCTATGTGGAGCTCTGAGCATGGCAGAGCGTGGCAGGTGCAGAAGGAGCTCCTGAGCGCCGTCTTCGTTCGTCCGGACACTCGCGCGCCGGCCTCGGCTCCGCTATGCTCGGCTCTGTCTCTCTCTATGCCTTCCTGCGTTGCAACGCAGGAACGGTTTCAAGCGACGAAGCTCATGGTGATGCAGTACTTGCTTGCCACGGAGGCCTGGCTCCCGTCTTCCAGCCGTTTTGTTGCATTTTGCAGCCCAGGGCATGGTGGTGTTCATTTGCGCCCTCTGTTGCATTATGGGAGTCGTGCTCTTCGGCTTCTTCGGCTGGCACCTGTACTTAGTGAAAGCAGGTCCAGCCACCTCGGCTGCAACTGTCGGTGGAGTTCTTTTCGTGTTTTGAATCGCTCGGCCAGGGACCACAACGAACGAGCTGAGCAAGTGGAGCTACGTCAGGATGTGCTTGAAACACGCCCGAGACCCGATTAGCACCTGGCAGCTGTCTTCGACAGACTCTGCGCGTGTCTGGTTCACGAGGAAGGTCCGGAGGGAAAGGAGAAGTTGAAGCTCCTCGTGAATGAGTATGACCAGGTCTTAGTGCACTTGACACATCTTGTCGTCCATTGCAGACTGATTTTCAAGAGGTGTCATCCGATGTATCTTTGAGAAGCCTTGCTAAGCTCCCAACGGCTCAAGACCGCCCCATGGCCACATTGTGCACATATGTTTCGTGGGAGTTGCTGCTGCTTCCTCTCTTGCCAGTCAATTCCAGAATTCAGCAGAGAGATGCTCATGAAGGAACGCAAAAGCACAGCAGCAAAAGCTTTCGCATGTAAACGTAGAACGGAGCCTCTCTACGCTTTCTTCCGGCAGCACGAGTGTCGTGTGTATGCGTGGGCAGCGTCATGGCTGCGAAGATGGAGCGACCCGACTCGACCGCCTCCGCCACGACAGGCCGCGGCCCCAGAAAGGGCGGGCGGCGGGCTGTGAGACTCAGCCCTGCGCAGGCAGAGCCATGTCGCCCTCCACTCCATCGCTGCCATCGCGGCCAAACACCACCGAGCCGCAGGTCTCACCGCTGGCTTCCCAGGTCTCAGGGAATATCAGACACAGACTTCTTTCGGGCTTCCAATCGAGCCTGCCTTTGGGGCTTAAGGCGAAGCGGAGCTCGAGCAAAGACGATGGCAAAGCCTCGTTCAATGCTCGCGCGCCTCGCAGCCCGCGGGAATAGTCGTCGCGACTTGGCAGGTGCATATCACAAGTCTTCCAGTCACTCCGGTGTTGGCACACAGCTCTCTAGCATGTTTCATTGAGCAGTGTTTGCTTTGTCCGTGTGTTGCCACGTTAAACCATGCGTTCTGGTCTCCAGCACGGCGCACCACAGTCCCCTAAACCTCATTTTCTGGTGGGAGTGCGCACCTGCCATAGTGCGGTGCGCATTGTGGACTCAGGGGTGGTCTTACGAGCGTCTCGGATCCACACAGGAAAGTCATGGCGATATCTTATTTAGGCTCGAGAGAATATTTGACCACTTACTGATACTTGTTGAGTCTCGCCTAAAATTCTTCAACAGCTGATCTTTCGAAGGGCAACCAGTTTCTGAACAGCGAAATATCATGTGTAGTACCAATGCAGACTCCGGCTTTTGCTTTTGACGATGCTACTGCTAGTGCCGAGATGGGTAAAGGAGAGGATGCCCAGCATGGGCAGATTCTGCATACCTTCGGATGCAAACGAGAGAAACAGCCTGCGGTTTTGAAGCCTTGTACAGTGCATCTTCACGCTCGGGCCAACACAGGGGAGACCGTCTTGAACCAATCACTCAGGCCCCAGAAAATCGACGTAAACATCGCGCGCAGCTGTGTAGCTCGCGTAGACCGCATTACTGTCTCACTGATTTCCTGTGATCCTTCAGATGCGCGGTCTCCAGAACGGAGCTATAATGACCTATACGAAGAGCATAAGACCGTTTTCCCACGCGCATTCACGAATATCCGGGAGGCGCCCCTGCACAGGTGCTCGATTAGAGACTGGACCCCCTAGCGCTTTATTCTCGCAAGTCAATGCAACAGGAGATAGTTTTCAAGACTGCAGGCGAAGGTGCAAGTAGTTTGTGCGGACTGCTACCCCAAGAATTTCCTGTCTATGTTCTAAGTACAGGAAGGACCGTAGGAACAAGCCAGACAATGCCAAACAATCCTACATGACAACTCAGGTGAACAACAAGGACTGAAGGAGGCAGAAGCCTACCGTGTGCCGTGCTCAGCTTCCTTTGCCCCTGTAGAATCACGTGGGCATGGAATTCAAATTTCGGGGGTCTGGAGGCCGGCCACGGCTATGGGAAAGGGTTTGGCCCTTGCAAGCCAGCATCGGCATCTCCGTGTGAAACGGCTTTGCTCAGTGGCCTCACCGAGTGGCAGCTGCCCACGTCGGAGGCAGCTTCTTCAGCCTATGCCCTATGCTCGTCCGAAACCTAGACCTGGGCCTGTTTCTGTTGGCTTTTCATTTCCGGGCAGGCACCGCTGGCAGAGATTCTGCTCCAAAATGACAAGGTCGAGCTTGGCGAGAAGTACAACATGAGAATCAGTTCCCGATTCCAGCCCTTGGTCGCAAAGACGGCGCACTATCACTTCCCATTGCCGACTTCCGAACAAAACAGGCGGTACAGCAATGTGCGACATAAGCATCCGCCCGAGGGAGTTCCATCCCTGGAGCCACCGAAGGACAAGAAGGATCCTACTTCTACGTTGTCGAAGAGCCCTGAGAGGCAAACACCACTTCTGACGAAACTCCGACAGCCAGTGCAGGAGGGCATGGCACGTCTTCGCCCGGGTGTCGCGTACAGCGTCTCGCGGCTAGAGGAATGGTTCCTGCTGCTGGACACGAGCCGCTCGGGCGAGGTCACTGTGCGCAAGTTGATCCTGGGGATGATGAAGCACCAGGACCGATGTGGAAAAGAACCAGAGCCCCCACCTGACACACCTGGAAACCTTGCACCGCAAACTCTAGCACCGAAGTGTTTCAGGAGATCATGGACCTCGTATTCCTGCTGAGAGAGAAGTCCGAAGGCCGATCATGGCAGCTGAAGCCCGAGAGCAGGCCGACGGCTGGCAAGCTCACCCGGGACTGAAAGCCAAAAGCAACTCAAAGTACCTAGGGACCCAGCCCCACATAGCCATACAGTCCTGCGAGTCACCAGGACGACATGCAGTGGGTGAGGGCACCTTGGACGCCCAAGTGTCGCCGGAGCTGTGGGATTTTTGTTTGGTGGGTGTCCTTGGCGGTCAGCAGAACTCACGCAGTTTGTGTTGAGGCAATGCTGGAGGAGCTGGGGGCAGGGGGTGGTGCTTCGATGACATGGCCGGAGTTCGTTGACTTCTTCCGCCAGACAGGTGCTTTTGATCGCAAAAGCGGAGGGTGAAGAGCTTTTCGATTCAGACCGGGCCTGCAGGTCTGCTCCTGGAGTACAGCACTCGGGACGAGCTAAACCAATCAGACCTGGGAGAAACAAACATCGAAGACTTGCGTGGATCTTAGTCGTGTTCCCGTCGCTCTTTCCGTTTCTTCTGGCTCATGCTTTAAACTGCATTTGTCTTGGTTCAGTACTTGTGATGTGCTGTCCAGTCTGCGACGACAAGAAGAAGAATTTCAGCTGGACCAAGAGAGATTCTTCAGCGAGCAGCGACGAGGCAAGCAATGTTGAGTGGTTTTCCTGTGCGACAGGATATCCCAAGCACCTGTTTGCAGCAAGGAGCCAGGATTTTTCCGTCCAGCCCGGAACGCTCGGAAAGGAGATCCAGTCGGTCGAGTTGTGCACTGGCACAGACAACGTAGTAGAAGCAAGGGTCGGTCCATGTCAATGCTGCCTCTGTTCGGCGATGCAGCTGACGACTGTTTTAACATGCCCTTCTCCCGAAAGTATTGGAGAATGTGGGCTCGAGTACCTTTGCAGCTTCAGCACAAGCAATTTTGTACAGGCCTGTTGCAGTCTAGGTGTTGTGCAGCCCCAGCGGATCACCCAGTGCCCGTGTCCGAGTAATTTGAGTCACATCCAGTCACAGTCAGTCATCTCATGGATCGGTTTTCGGAGGGCAGTGAAGTCTCACAAAGACCAAAGCTACGGTCGGGGATGCACGCTTAGACTTGCGTGCTCTCTTGCGTAGACAGACATGGTGGTCACAGCCATGTTGTGCCGTTGCAAAGTTCGATCGGCCGCGACGGATGGGAACCACAAGAGGGCCCGTCTCTGCTCATCTCTGCGGCTTTGAGGGCCCTCCTGCAAAACGCAGGAGATGTCGGATGTGAGATGCAGGAAAAGTGGGAAGTCCCCATGTTTCTCTCCTGCGACCCCTCCAGATGGGTTTAAATCCCAGTCCTAGTCACGGAAGAGGCGTCTTCTTGTGGTACTCGTAAGTCGAGCCACATCGTGCAGCCATGTGATGACCCCGCTGCGAGCAGGGCTGCCTCGGCAACTTCAGGGAAGTCATCTTTCCGATTGATGCTTCGACCTCAGCACACGTGGGGAGACTTGCATGAAGAGTGCTTCTTTGACTAAATAAAATCCCCTGTTGGATCAGGCGCAGAAGCTTTCAGAGGAAGCTCTGAAGCAGGACAACCTTTTTATTCAGCCCCCCCCTCTGCCCTTCTGGGGTTGATGACGACAGTTGAGGACTCCAAGGAGACGCAAGGCAAAGCTCGAAAAAGCAAGGTGGACGCACATTTGCGTAGCCGTGGGGAGCTGCGATTTGGCTTGGATTGCTGTGTGAAGTCCGCTTGCAAAAAGTGAGATCCTCGCAGGCGAAGAAAGCAGAGTGATTGGCGAGCAGAGTTCAAAATTTCAAGCTTGAGAGCGCTTGCCAGCCGTCATTGAGCTCCACTGCCCACGTTGCTTCAGCTTATCTCACAAGCGAAAGCCTTGGCTCAGGCAGAATTAGGCGGCACGCTGCCAACGCGCAAGTCCAGCAGGAATCTAGCATTCATGCTGGAGGCTTCGCCTTCCTGCATCGTAGACAATGAGTTCATGCTGATCTGACAACACTGTAGAGCCTCCACCCGACGCGTGGCCAAGAGGTGTTGCTGATAGAGACAAGCCTGTGCTTTGCAGCTCCGGACCTCTTGGAGGAAGGCAGATGTCGACATTTTCTGCAACACGACCCATGTGACCACGTCCTTGCCGAGCCTGT